GATTGGTTTGGGGTGTGGCTTTGGCACAGGAAATTTTGACATCGACCCAGTTGGTTCTATTTTGTACAACTCGGGTTGAGAATTGCTGATACAAAACATAATCTTTGAATACTTGAGGCCCCAGGACTCAATATGGTGTCACCCATTTTATTTTGTATTGCTAGTCACTTTTGACTAATAATTTCATAATGAAATATAACTCCCACTAACCTGTTTATAATACTTTTCAGTAGATGATCAGAAAAATTTGTGAAATATACAGACTTTTAGACCCTCACTTTGGAGGTTCTGATTCCATATGTTTGTGGTAAATCAAAAGACATGCATAAAAATCACCAAAGTGATTCTTGATTCTTTTTAAATTGTAAAGGTGATGTACAAAGGGGTTACAGTTCCATAAGTAATGAGTACATTTCTTGTCCCTCATTTTCTCTTGCTTTCCCTCCCCCTCAAGTTGTAAAGTTCATTTCCAACAGTGTCTTGTGAGTATTGCTGTTGCATTAGTTCACCTTTGTCTTTTGTCTCACCATGACAACAGGGGAAAATGAAATAAATAACTGCAAACAGTACACTACAAAAAATAAAAACCTATTGGGGCTGGAAAGGCGGCTCAGAGGTAGAGTGCTTGCCTTGCATGCATGACACCCTGGGTTCCATTCCTTAGCACCACATAAGCAGAAAAAGCTGGAAGTGGCGCTGTGGCTCAAGTGGTAAAGCACTAGCCTTGAGCTGAAGAGCTCAAGGGACAGCAACCAGGCCCAGAGTTCAGGCCCCACGACCAATAAATAAATACTTCTTGTTTCTATATCTTGGAGTTCATTTTGATTAGTGCATTTATATGGTCATATGTACATAGCTATCGAGCTGTTGTGATCCTCTGCTAGGACTAGACATATTATTATAAATGAGGGAAACCATGGAGGCTATGTTTCTTTGGGTCCAGCTTACTTCTTTCCATTTCCTTACGAATCAGGTCATGCCATTCTTTCTGATGGAAGCATAAATTCCATTGTGTATGTATACCATGTTTTCTTGCTCATGCTAAAGTTAAAAGAAGTAATATTTCAAAACAACCTTGGAAGTTAAAATAGCATTGGGTATTTGTTGTTATTTTTGTTTGTCCATCGTGGGGCTTGAACTCTGGGCCTGGGCACTGTCCCTGAGTTCTTCAGCTCAAGGCAAGCACTCTACCACTTGAGCCACAGAACCACTTCTGTTTTTCTGGTGGTTTATTGGATATAGGAGTCTCATGGACTTTCCTGCCTGGGCAGGCTTTGAATTGTAATCCTCAGATCTCAGCCTCCTAAATAGCTAGGATTACAGGTGTGAGCCACTGGTGCCTGGCTAGCTTTGGGTAGTTTTAATAAAGAGCTCCTAATTGGTGGTCTTGCGTTTCAAGAATCTTTGAACAAAAATGGTCTTCAAGCTCAGATTCAATGTCAGGTTAATTTTCAGAATGAAAATTTAAAAAAAATTGCATGAAATTCTTAGTCAGTGAACAATCTCAGTTCTCTGTAGAAAAATAATCTTTAAAAATATAAATTTAAAAATATTAAGTGAATCTAAAAACTCAGTTTAAAACAGCCAGATGATTTAAGATTGTCACACACACACACACACTCACAATCACCCCTAGAAAACTTTCACATTAAAAATCCCAGCCTTGCTGCCCTAGTGTTTTACAGGATTAGACAAAACATTTAAGGCATCCAACTATTTTCGGCAAATTTAAGAGCACTTAGGGTAACAAACACTTTCAGGCTTTAGGGTTTTAGTTTAGAGCCGAAAAACTTCTCTACCTCACTTCAACTTCACTGGGAATTTAGGGAAAGAAAATGGATTACTCAAGCCGGAACTACATCAAAATGTCAAGTTAACACATTTTGGCTGGTAACAGTGCCTAGGGATCTAATGTCTGAGTGATCAAGGCAGTAAATTGCCAAATCATTTTAGAGATAATGTCCTTTCCAGAAGGCTGGAGGTTTCTTTCTTTCTTTTTTTTTTTTCTAAGCTCCTTCCTATCTGTGTTTTAACCCAGGCTAACCAAGGCCTGACAAGCTCACATGCATGCAATGAATTGAAACAGCTGCATAGAAACAGCTGCACAGAAAAATGTCAGCACAGAAGTCCATACACACATGAGCATAACCTAGTTATTTCTCCATAATAGCGAATGATGGATTTGGTTTTCTGTAAATGTTCTTTGGGCTTTTGAAGGTTGAATAACTGATATTATATCAACAAATGTGAAACGTGAGTAGACTGGTTACTATTGTTTTTCTTGAAAACCCTCCTGTTTGGTCTTCCCCTGGGAGTACTCGCTCCTTGCACAGTACCCTCCATGATTCTCATATCCAAGTGTTGGCCACAGGATGAGTTTAAAACCTGGCTCATTTCAATAATAATATTCATTTATGCAAAAGCTCCATCAGTAGGTTATATTATCAAAGCTTTTAGCGTATAAGACTCCTCAGTGTAGAGGTAAAGCTAAGGTTAGCATACAGAAAGGGCATCAGTAGAAAAAAAGTCAATGGAAGAATGTCTTCCCCAGCATTTGGTGATGATGCCTCTCTTGAAGGAGAAACTAGTAGACACAAAATCTTGGAAGCATTAAATCTTAGCTCTCACTCCTGAAGCGTTTGTTCCCACCACTTTCTTGGATTCCTCGAGCTCTTCTTTAGCATCTTTCCTGACTAGAGGAGATAATAAAGCTCCTGCAGGGTTTAATCTATTTTGGACTGAGTTTCTAACATTTGTCACCAAAATTCTAACATAGAATAAGATCAACAAGTCTTATACATCATTTTACAAATGAGAAAGCAGAGATAAACTTGCCCACGGCACACATTACAACAGAATTCATCTTTCTTTGCTCTTCAGTCTTTGGGCATACTCTCCCTCAAGAAAAAGTTGGTATTGTTGAGCACCTGGTGATTTTCCTTATTTGTATATGTTGTAAAACTGCTTACTACTCCCCATCACACTCATATTTGGTGTTAAGTATACTTGGGAGAGATTAAGGCATATTAGCCTTTCCTATTCGACTTTGGAGCTACCGTTCTGTAGCAGTGTATAGCTGCACTACTCAAGATCAATAACCACTATCAATAGTCATTATAGAGATATTATCTATAGATTCTACATCCAAAGAATATAATTCCCATATTCCTTCCAAGAACTGAATTTCTGGTGCTTTGAGCCAAGCAGCTTAGTGTGATTTTAAAAAATTATTTGGAAGTCTTTTATTTCTCAAGTATTTTATCATACCTACCTGGAATTAGTCATTAATGACAGTAGTAACTTATTTTATCATATATATTGGTATTATTTCTAAGTTTTCTTGAATATTCAAGTGTTTATGATTTAAATATCAGAAACAAAGTCTTTAAATGTTGGTTAAACAGAGCAATATGGGAAGTAAAATTAATGTACTTTCAGTAAATTATATTTGCCTTATTTGATTCTAGAATTTCAGTATTTGTTGCCACAGACATGTGCATTAGTGAAACAACACTTTTACAATACTAAAAAAACCTTAGGGCAAAACTTTTTTTCTGTTATCAGTAGCAAAAAATTAAATTCATAGGAATAACCACAATAATGCACTAAATTTATAATGGCAACCACAATGCCAAGATGTTGATAGAAAAACCTGTAAAACTGCAAGTCTTAATAAACAGTGGTTTAATCAGGTCTGTATAGTGGCATGGAAAGTTACAACATTCTCATCACAGTATCATACATCTTTACTTCTGCCCTAATTTTCAAGATGTCCCCTGTGGGTAAAGTCCCCATCCTACTGATTTGACAATTGTACACATGGAGTCTGAAGATGTCTGTACTTTTTGGCTTGTCTTCTTGTACTTTGACAGCTGTTATAGGTATCTGCAAAGCTTAGAATGCAATGTTGCCTTTTTTTTTTTAAACTAAAGGCTGTTGTACTACTTGAGACACAGTCCCACTTCCTGCTTTTTTGGTGGTTAATTGGCAATAGAACTCTCATGGATCCTCAAATATCTGTCTCCTGAATAGCTAGGATTACAGGAATGAGTCATTGGTACCTGGAATTTTGCCTATTTTGTATTAGACAGCATTTGTGCATGCTGTAAAACTGAAAAGGTTGGAAAGGGTATTACAATGAAAAGCTAACAAGTACCCTTCTAACTCTGATCTTTAACCACCCTATTTAACACCTCAGAGGAAATCAGCTAAGAAACTTGATCCACATATAACACAGAAGACAAATAGTATCTTAATAGGGTAAATTCACACCAGCTTGCTCAGTAGAGACTTTGGAATCAGGATGGACAAGTCTAGCTCCCATAAGCAGATCTATAGAGGATTCACTGTAACCTGAAAAACCACTTGTCATAAAAAACAACCTAATTTAATACTTTTGCATTTCCAAAACACATGATTAGGTTCCATCTGGAAAATAAGATGACTTGATCTAAAGAAGGTTAGCACATCAATGTAATTTTATCAATGTAATTTTAATTTGTGCTGTCCTCAAACTACATTTTTCTGCTTTTATAGGCATCATTTCAATTAAGATCAATACCTTGAACAACATAGTTCATTCTCAGCAATACATTTCTCTTTTAACTGATTTGAGTATAAACCAATTTAAAAAATTGAGCCAAGGTAGTTAACACATATATTTAATTTTAATTAATTTGTATCACAGATCGATGTTGACGCATTTTTGTGTGTATGTGTGAGCACCAGTTCTGGGGCTTGAACTCAGGTATCAAGTTCTTGTTTGGCTTTTTTCAAGTTTCTTGTTTGGCTTGAGCTACACCTCCAGTTCCAGCTCTTTGCTGAAGATAAGAGTCTCTCAGATTTGTCTGCTGGACTGGCTTTAAGTTGCAATCCTCAAATAACTGAATAGCTTCTTGAATAGCTAGGATTATAGGCATGAACAATGGATATTTTAATCTAAAAATAGTTACATTAAATTTTTTTTCTAAAAGGGTAATTGAACTGGACAATTTTAAAAATTATTTACAAAACTTTGCTTTATTCAATTAATGAAATTAACCAAAACACAAACTCTATCAAATTTTATTACAATGATCTTTTGTAGAATCAACAGATTTTTAAAAAGTTGGATACTTTAATGTAAAACTACAATGTAAAAATAGAAACTTCAGTTCAAGCAATTAAAGTAAGAGCAATTAAATAGTCCTTTCTAAGGGAGAAAAAAACAATAGCAATTAGTGGGGCAAAAAACAAAACAAACAAAACCCAGTGATATAGCATGTGCAGAGCTGGGAATTTAAATACCAGTCTAGTTTCTCATTGCCAACATGGCATTTATATCCCAGATGAGATTTCGTAATTGATCCATAATTTGCTTCAGCTGTTGATTCTTCTGCTTGAGTTTCTGTGGAAACAAAAGAATTTATCAAAAATGTTACATGAAACATAGACCAGGAAGTTCGACGAGTAAAGTGTAGTAAGCCATGACTCTAATGACCCAGAGTGCAATTGGGGAAAACAATCCTGTAATGCCGACTGTCTCTACCCTTTTCACTTCCTAAATACTCTGTGACTGGAACCTTGAATTTTAATTCAACCCAGGACTGTGGCTCGGTTCCTGTTATCAATTCTTTCTACTCTTTCACTTCCACTGGAAGTAAATTGTACATTTAATTACAAAAAATGTGGCTCTTCCAAGCATGGTGGTACACACTGTTAGTAGCATGCTCTTGAGCCAGATTCACTGGGTGTTCAGATATTTGCCCTTCCCTAATATAAATGGATGACAGTGCCAATTTATTGACGCTTCCATCAGAAAAATGCAGAAAGTAATCAAACCTATTTCCTAAGAGTTTTTAGGAGGATTATTATGATTCACAAAGTGTTAAAAGAGCCTGCATTGTAAGTAACCATTCTGTCAATGTTAATAGTATATGCAGAATGTAAACTGTCGATATAAAAAAAAGTACAATAAAAATACAGTGTCTCATGCAATTAGTCTTTGAGAAATGGGACAGATGTCACTACTCGTAGCATGAAGCAACCATAGCAACCTATTTCTAGTTCTCAAAACAGAAATCAAAATGGTCCTGTGCCCAATGCAATAACCTTCACAAGGAAGACTGCTACATGCCTGGAATGCTCATGGCTGTGACTCTGCACCTATATTTCTAGATCTACTAGACTAGAGCTCATAAACTCCTCCAAGCTTCCTTCCTTCAAGTCCTATGAAAATAGATGACACAGATAAAAATAGAGCACTTCTGCATGGAGTGTTTACTAGTTATTATTATTGGAAATCATAATTCAGTAATGGTTTTGGAAAAGTATTTGGAGCAATAATATTTAATTATATTCTTTTAAAGATGGAAATATATATGAATCCCATTACACTTTTTTTCCTTCTTCTTAATATAATTAATTTCTAAAAAATAATGTAAAAGTACCAAAAATAGGTCTCTTTAAAGATCAAATTAAAATATAGGCAAACAAAAAAATTAAAATACACCAAACTCTAAGGTACTTGGATAGCTTCTCTCAAAGATGCCACTAGGTTTTAAATTAAAAAATTAGCACACAAGTAAAACATCTAGAGTCAAAACACGTTTTGAGACTATCAACAGTGAAGCTGACAGTTATGCTTATTAGTGGTTAAATTGTAAATAAATTTTCATGACATGATATAAGATTTAATATATACAATCTTGCCACTGATTGATTCTAAGGGAGGTTGACAGCTGCTATTTTCAAAATCTATCAGCTGTGCATAATTTGTTACATTAACAGGTGAATATAGAAACAGGAGAATACTTACAAATATGTTTATGCTAAGTCAGACCAGGTAATCTAATATTCATACAAAGGCTGTGACACTTGATCAAACATGTCTTAACTTCTAAATGTAAGGACTCGATTATATGTCACCTGTAAACACTACCATGACATCTTTTAATTTCATTTTACTTTAACAGAATCACTCTAGGCAAAATAAAATTCACTCTTGTGGTTATAAACATATGGTTTTAAACAGGATTTTAGGATTGCAGGAAACATGAGAAAGTGAAAAGTATTTAAAAAAAAGCCAAAATCTGTACAACTTCAAGAATAAATTATAGTTAACATCTGAAAATACCCAACTGAGGATAAGGGACATAAGTCTACTTATTTTGATTATTTAAGAGAAAAAAATATACATTAGAATATTCTGAACATTTTCACTAAATACAAAATACGTATTTTTAGTATAACACAGATCCATATAGCACCTTATTTAGTATAATCAAATGCCAATGTATTAAAAAACAAGGTGTGTTATTTTTGTTTTTTGTAAAAGTTCATCAAAAGCATAACATGGGAGACTGGGTCTGGTGATACATGCTTGTAATTCCAGATACTTGGGAGATGGAAACTAGGAGGACTGTGGTTCAAGGCCTGTCCAGGAAAAAAGCTAGCAAGATTCTATTTCAACCAATAAGCTAGGTGTGGTGATATGTAATATAATCCTAACTATGCAGGACGGTGGCCCCTGCATAGCCTCCTGCATAGCTAGGATTATAGTTGCACACCACCACACCTAGCTTATATGTATATATGATAATGTAATATGTATTATATATATGACCTCCAGAAAAGTCTAGAGCAAAAAGGGCCAGATTCTTCCTAATTCCTTAGTTCCAATCCTACTGATGCAAGAACCCGCACAAAACATAAACAAACAAAAAACACATGACACAGAAACATACTTCCTTAGTCACTAAGTAAAGAATATTTCACCTGGGGCTGGGAAGGTGGCTCAGTGGTAGAGCGCTTGCTTTGCATGCTCAAGGCCCTGGGTTCGATTCCTCAGCACCACATAAGCAAAAAGGAAAA